CAATTTCTTTCTGTTAGTCTCAAAGGTGCTACAAGATCTCCCTCTACACACATTTTCAAGACTAGTTATTTTAGGTTAATTTGATTTGATTTCACTACATCAATAAGTCCCTTTCTTGTCACAAATAGCTCTCATATCTCTTGGAAAGGCCTCACAGGCACATGTTTCCTACAAAGGTCAACTCCAAGGAAATATAATTTTGGATGTATGATCAGCCTAAATGATTGTATATGTCTTGCCCACATGTGTATTTCTTTTTTTGTTCCTCTGTCTTCCCTCCTCCTTTTTGCATATATATATATATGTATATATATATATGTTATAAAAATTATAAAACAAAGAAAACAAAGGCACCCTTGTGATCCTGACTATTGTTGTTGTGTGTCTTCCTTTTGTTTATGACTTATGGCAACCCTAAGGCAACTTATCATGGGGTTTTCTTGGCAAGATTTGTTCAGGGGAGGTTTCCCATTGCCTTCCACTGAGGCTGAGAGTGTGATTTCCCCAAGGTCACCCGGTAGGTTTCTATGGCCAAGTCAGGATTTGAACCTGGTCTCCCAAGTCCTAGTCCAGCACTCAAACCACTACATCACACTGGCTCCCTTGGCCCTGACTAGTTGCAAGAATTAGTTTTATATACAAGTTCTCTTTGCTAGTCTAGCTGCTGTTTGCACAGGGTGGCCAAAGAGCTTTGTTGTTGTGCGCCTTCAAGTCATTTCCCACTTATGGCAACCCTATCACAGGCTTTTCTTGGCAAGATTTGTTCAGAGGAGGTTTGCCATTGCCTTCCCCTGAGGCTGAGAGAGTGTGACTTGCCTAGAATCATCCAGTGGGTGTCATAGTTGAGCTGAGAATCAAACCCTGGTCTCCAGAATCATAGTCCAACAATCAAAACACTAAGCCACACTGGGTCTCTGGCCAAAGAAGCAGCGGCAGTGGAAAAAGTGGAGGCAGTACTCTGGAGCAAAGTGGTCTTCAGCAAGGGCCCAGCAATTGAAAACCTTGCTGCCGCTAGCCCTGTCGTGAAGGTCCAGTTCACTGCAGACCCTCTACCTTTCAAAACAACTGCTGGGGAGGAGGAGGTATTTGCCTTGCTAGCCAAAAGAAAGAATATTTTGCCTCCTCCCACTTCCAACCAGTAGGTCAACCTTCCTGCACATATATTATTTTATGAGAAAAACAAAAATCCTTGCAGAGACTGCAAATGTGGTGCAAATGACCCAACATGTCAGGGCCAGAAGAGGCAGGACAAGTATACCAACATGAAAGTAATGCTATTGACATGTTGCTAGCTGAAAACCGGCAAGTGAAAACTTGCTTCCTGAAAATTGGCAACATACTATATGTAACCTGGAAGTCTGCATATTTTACCCCAGTTGAATTCAATCCACAAGATATTTCAGACAGAGAATGGATCAATTTTGTGCCTTTTGTTGTTTGAGACTGCCATAGCTACGCTCTCACTCCTCCCTCAGTTACTTCACTTTTTAAAATCCCACCAAAATTGATCTCGGTCCACTTTGCTAATTTATTACTACTAGATGTATTGCTACTAGATACATTGTAATGCCACCCATCCTTACTTACCTTATTGTGCCAAAAGAAGAAAGAAGCGAAGAAGATGAATAAAATTAAATAAATAAATAAATAAATAAATAAATAAATAAAGCAGGCGTTCAACAAATGGTGCAAGTTACACTCTGTCTGGTGTAGCTTATCTTTGCTTCCAAGTCTTTGAGGCACCTGAAGCCTTCCTTCCTTTCCCTGCTTCTCATATCCTCACTTTGCAGACCACTCACTGTTCTTGTCCTTCTGCAGCAAAACATGCATCTCTCTTCAGCTTGTTGTGAGGAGAGCTCTTACCTTTATTCCCTGCACACTCCCACGTTCAGTTCACTTCACAAAGCAGCACCTAAAGGCTTTCATTGTGCCACGAGAGGGCAGTAAAGGAGTGTTTGGGACTCCTACCAAAACAACAACAACACCTGGAACTCTTTTTTAAACATTAAAATATTGTATTTAAATGTCAGCAGCTCTCTGGGTCCTTCTACCTGATCCTTTTACATGGGCGACGCCAGGGAATGAACCTCTGTATCAGGGACCGGCAACCTACACCCTAGGGGCCGGTTAAGGCCCAGGTCCCTGGACTTACTGGCCCAGGCGGAAGGTTGCTGCCGCCGCGCGTTTTTGCCACCGTGCGGCCACGTGTGCCACAACCACCATTTTGGAAATCAAAATGGCGGTCGCGACATGTTTGCACATGCACAGGAGTACTGCGCATGTGCAAACGTGTCATGACCACCATTTTGATTTCCAAAATGGCGGAGGCGGTGCATGTGGAGGTGGCTGTGCGGTGGCGCGTGGGGTGTGTGTACGCACATGTCACACACCGCCATTCTCCCCCCTCAGCCCAGCGGCGGGAGGGACTTTGCGGGACTGGCCCCAAGGTAAAAAAGGTTGCCTACCCCTGCTCTATATAAAGCATGTAAAATGTGAAATATAATTCAGTGATCCTCCTCACATATCCTGCCACCCTGAGGCCTTGCCTCAACAGATCCATACACATATTTACATGCTAATTTACATGCTAATTCCCAGCAGGCAATGGACCATTAATTCAATAGACAAAAATCCTCCTCACATATCCTCCCACCCTGAGGCCTTACCTCAACAGAAC